ACTATGCTGGCACCGTGGACTACAACATCGCCGGGTGGCTTGACAAGAACAAGGACCCCCTGAATGAGACCGTGGTGGGGCTCTACCAGAAGTCTTCCATGAAGACTCTGGCCTACCTCTTCTCTGGGGCAGCAGCAGCTGCTGAAGCAGGTACTTTTCAATAGCATGACTCCTTTTCTTAGCGTATAAAACATAAATGGAGAACAACTGCTCTATGGTTGTTGGTGCTCTCTTTGCTCTGCAGAGGCTGGTGGCGGTGGTGGAAAGAAAGGCGCTAAGAAGAAGGGTTCTTCTTTCCAGACTGTGTCTGCTCTCTTCAGGGTAAAAGCTCTCTCTCTAATGAGCAGCAGAAAATTAAATTTTACCTTGTTTTGTAGAGATGGGAAACAATACAGCAAAGAGTATAGAACTGGCTGTAAGTCAAGGAGGCAGGTCACTGCCTGTCATAGAACTAAGTTTCCCTGGAGGTCTGGGGTAGTCTGTAAGAGATATCTTCATATGTAAGAGAAGTAGTGGGCCAACAGAACTACGTGGTGCCTGGTTACCCCCACTGACCACTCTAATAAGTGATCACAGTAGGAGATCCTAGATATAGTGGAGGTGAGTGGGGGAAAATAAGGAATAAAACTCCAAAGCATAAAAGGCCAGGCTTTCCAGCTGGAGAGAGACTGGTGGAACCCCTGAGACTATGACCTTAGTCACTCCTTGAACTTGCAACAAAATTCATCTGTGGCTCCACCTTCAGCCAAACAGCAGAAACACCTGTTAGGTGACCAGCAACACCAGGAAGGCACTCATTTCTTAGACTAACAAGCCATATAGGGTCAAAAGGGTAGCATCTCCCCCAGATAAACTCCTGAGGCAGAAAGGAGTAGGACAGAAGTATTAATGAAAATGAGAATTATAGGGGGAAGGGTGAAAAGTGTGATTACATTGTGAGCATCACAATTAATTATAAAGCAAAATGTGTATGAATGGGTGAGTGAAAAACCAATGTGCTTTGTAAACTTTTGCTCAAATAACCATTAATAATAAGGAGAAGCAAGAGTCATGAGAGATGAGTACACTGTGGCAATTAGGATCAGATGGAAAAATGTAATTCTGGGAAATGTGATTATTTGACACTTAAAAGGCTCCACTGAGCTAGGATTATGTAAAGCACAAGATCTGGATTGAGGCTTTAGAGGAATATTAGGTGCTTAAGTGAATAATGGCTAGAGCTGAAGTAGGTAATTTTGAAAATTGTGGGTAAAAGAATAGTGGTAGAAATTGGAGGCTAAATCAAAACCAAAGGATTAAGAAAGTTGATGCAATCAGAAATAACTCTTTAGGGGGGGAAAAGAGTCTTCTTTTGGCATTCCCACTCCTAATGATCTGAATTGAAGTTCTAGGAAAGCCAGTTTCCTATGGAAATATAGTAACATGGCAGGCAGTTTTTTCTCAGTTCACAGAATGGTATGTTACAAGTCTACTTTCTATGGAGGCAGCTCTGTACCTGTAACAAGGAATAAACATGTGATAGAGGGGCAGATACAGATGAGAATTGGGTAAAGAAGTAAATGGGTAATTTGCAGAAAGGCATTGGGTTAATACTAAAACCTGACCCGATCTTTAGGCAAAAGGGTATAAGTGGAGTATTTGCCTATGTTCAGAATTGCCAACGTAACTTTTACAATTTATATAGAGAGTAGAAAACTATTTATAATGTACAAAAACAAGAAATAAGAGGACATGTTATGAATGTGGAAATTCCAGAGCTAAGCTCACTGTAAATTCAAAGCTGGATTTTGCCAGTATCATGTCACAGCAATTATGTCCATAAATATTCATGTATGAAAGCAGTCCATTTTCATGATGAAATCTACACATGGTTCCACAGGAGAATTTGAACAAACTGATGACTAACTTGAGGAGCACTCATCCCCACTTTGTGCGGTGCATCATCCCCAATGAGACCAAGACTCCTGGTAAGAGATTCCGGATATGCTGACAAACTTTAGTCAGTTTGCTTTAGACCATTAAGTAAGATATATGCATTCTCTCGTTTAGGGGCCATGGAACATGAACTCGTCTTGCACCAGCTAAGGTGTAATGGTGTGCTTGAAGGCATTAGGATTTGCAGGAAAGGATTTCCAAGCAGAATCCTTTATGCAGACTTTAAACAGAGGTGAATAATTTTTTAAGAGGTCTTTGTTTAATTTATCAGTGAATTAATTCTTTATACTTTCTATTAAAGAGAAATACAAATTAATACATTCTTAAGATTGACCAGAATTGCAAAGTCCTTTGCAATACAAAGTATTGATTAAAAGATGGTGGTTGGTTTGGGTTAGGGTTTCTTATGCTTGCTAGACTAGTAGGTAGCTAGACTATTTCTATACTAAATCAGAGATTTCTCTTCAATGACAAAAGCAATATCATTTATTTGTTTGTCCTAAACAGATATAAGGTATTAAATGCAAGTGCTATCCCTGAAGGACAATTCATTGACAGCAAGAAAGCTTCTGAGAAGCTCCTTGGGTCCATTGATGTTGACCATACCCAGTATAAATTTGGTCACACCAAGGTATTAATCTTCTATATATCACCTGATCTTATATTCTGTCCCTTTGCACTTTATGTAAGTTAATAATGTGAGGCATTGCTCAACTGCAGGTCTTTTTCAAAGCTGGCCTTCTGGGGCTCCTAGAGGAGATGAGAGATGACAAGTTGGCCCAGTTGATTACCCGCACCCAGGCCATGTGCCGAGGGTTCTTGGCAAGAGTGGAGTACCAGAAGATGGTAGAGAGAAGGTATTAATGGAAATACTTGACTTAACCCCTCAGAGTTCATATTTCTAATCTACTTTCTATTATAATTTAACATTGAACATTTCTATTCCTATTACAGAGAATCCATCTTCTGCATCCAGTACAACGTCCGTGCCTTCATGAATGTGAAGCACTGGCCCTGGATGAAGCTGTATTTCAAGATCAAGCCTTTGCTCAAGAGTGCGGAGACTGAGAAGGAGATGGCCAACATGAAGGAAGAGTTCGAGAAGACCAAAGAAAACCTTGCAAAGGCTGAGGCCAAACGAAAAGAACTGGAAGAAAAAATGGTGGCTCTGATGCAAGAGAAAAATGACCTGCAACTCCAAGTTCAATCTGTGAGTTGAACTCCAAGTTCAAATGTGAACTTATTTCTTGGTAATCTGACAGTAAATCTTCAGTTCAGCAATCACTAGGGCAAGAGTTAAAAGCCATCTTACAAAGGGGCTGATCCCCCCCAATTAATAACTTAAGCATATTCTCTAAGACTTTATGTATGACACTCAGGATTCTTTGGTGTTGAGAAAGGAATAAGAATATTTTCTTTTTCTTCCTATAATTTCCTCTAGCAAAATAAGGACAGAAAATAGGTGATCTTTTTTTCCTCTCTATGATTTTTCATACAAATAAATGTAAATAAGAGCAATGATAAAAATATCAGTATTGACAATGAAAATTATAATTATATAAGTATAATATATAATAGTTATATATTTTTATAATTATAATTATAAAAAAGCTTTTTTTATGCAAATATATCAACTTTAAATCAATATTCTGTATTTTTAAATCTGCAGTCCTCTGGCAACTTCCCTCTAAACTCTATTTTTAGACACTCTAATGCCTGGGGGTGGGTGGAGGATCACTGCAAATGATGATGGTGATACTTTTTATAGATAATGCTGATTTTTATTCAAAGCATAAAATCAATGTGCACAATTAGGACAATTCTCTGTTCTTATTTGGATTTCCCAATAAGTATCAAGAAGCTTAGAGAGAAAGGGTAGTTATCTAGCATATTTCGTGACCCAAATTACAAGTTCAGCTGCTGCCACCAAAATAAACAATAGAAACTGTAAGTTGCCTCTAGTTCTTGGAATGTGAAAGAGGAATCCAGATTGATCTGGAAATCTAATTAGAAAATCTAAAGAACCATGAATCTGCAAATAACTAGGTTACACGATGGCTTTACTTGAACACTATGCAGATTGTTGTTGTTGTTATGTGCTGTCAAGTTGTTTGCGACTCATAGCGACCCTATGTACAACAGCCCTGAACTCCGCTCTGTCCTGTGCCAATCGCACTGCCTCTGACACACCCATTCCAGTTACCCCAGTCACTGAATCAGTCCATCTCATAGAGGGTCTTCCCCTCTTGCACCATCCCTCCACCCTCCCAAGCATGATGCAGATTAGGTCATTCCCAGTGAAGGTTCATAAAAATCATAGAATAACTGAAGGGATAAATTTCTGTTCTTTTGAGTTATAATTTCAATATTACCACACTATCTATTAATTGAATCCTCTTTCTTTAGTATTCATAGGATTTTCAAAGTCCTTATTTAGTCCTTTTTAGTTATTTAGGGAGTAGATGGACCATCCTGCTTCCTAGTCTGTCTTCATCAAGGAGCGCCACCAAAACCTGTCTATGAAGGGAAAACCTTCTGGCAGTTGACACACCAGTGGCACAGATTTCAGTATCAGAGCAACACCAAGTTATCTCAGTACAGCAAGCTGGCAGACAAATGCTGCACCACTTAGAACAAAGTTCTCTCCCAAAACAATTAATTATTAATTAAATGTTTACCCTCCAGGATCCAACTGTTCCAAGCTGAAGGCTCACCCTTAGGCAAAACCAGACTGACTTTTAAATAGAAAGGCCTGCCCACCAGATCCTGTTTGCTGAAACAATAGGCTTCCAACCCATAGCAGATTTTAAATGAAATCAGATATAGTCAATTAGCTTACACTTGATTGCTAATACAATCAGAAACTCCCAGTTTACACCTAGCTTTCAAAAGTTTAATGAAGAAGACAATAGGGATAACATTTTCAGCAAGATATGGTTCATAATTGTACATAGCTCTAGAGACTTCAAAACATAATAAAATTTAAAAATGCCCAAGGAACTAAAATATAAATTTGTCACTCCTTTACAGGAAGCAGATAGCTTGGCTGATGCAGAGGAACGATGCGACCAGCTGATCAAAACCAAAATCCAGCTGGAGGCCAAAATCAAAGAGGTGACAGAGAGAGCTGAGGATGAGGAAGAGATCAATGCTGAGCTGACGGCCAAGAAGAGGAAGCTGGAGGATGAATGCTCAGAGCTGAAGAAAGACATTGATGACCTTGAGCTGACATTGGCCAAGGTTGAAAAGGAGAAGCATGCCACAGAGAACAAGGTGAAAACAACTCTCATGTAATTTAAATACATCATAGAATGTAAGCTTCTGTATCTGTATGAATCTTACAGATTTATATGATTGAAATCATACCCTGTGATGTTTTGCATAGATTTTGCCACCCATCTAACTACATTAAAGTAGAAATCATCTATTTCTTCATCTTTTAATTAGGTGAAAAACCTCACAGAAGAGATGGCAGGCCTGGATGAGACCATCGCAAAACTGACCAAGGAGAAGAAAGCCCTGCAAGAAGCCCACCAGCAGACACTGGATGACCTGCAGGCGGAGGAGGACAAAGTGAACACCCTGACCAAGGCCAAAATCAAGCTGGAGCAACAAGTGGATGATGTAAGTCTCAAGCACCATAAAAGTAATATTCCACTTAGTAACAAACTTAGAGTGTGTAAGTTCTTAACATATCATCAGGCTTATGAAGAGCTTTCTATTTTTAATACACATAGGATATAATCTTTGCCGCAAGGAATAACATGTAAAACCAAGAAAACAAGAAAAGTAAGGAATAAATAATGAGGGAGGAAAAGGAATCCAAGGAAATAAATGTTAGTGTGGTTCACTAAGCAAAGTACTGCAAACAAAAGTGAGCCTTTGCACACCCATGTTTATCACAGCTTTGTTCACAATAGCAAGGAGTTGGAAACAACCTAAGTGCCCATCAACAAACAAATGGGTAAAGAAGCTCTGGTATATTCACACAATGGAACACTACACTGCATTGAAAAACAAAGAACTCATGCAATATTATTCAAAATGGGTGACCCTGGAGGACATGATGCTGAGTGAAGTATCTCAGACACAAAAGGACAAATACCATATAGTGCCACTGTTGTAAAACACGACTGACACTGGGGTTGGGGGAGACTGAGAAAGATAGGATAAATAATGTATACTGCATTGAAACGGATGAAGGGGGAAACTGTTTAAAAGGGATATGTGATTAGGTATTATTGTCATGACAGGAGTCCAGAATGAAGGCTGCATAGTGGAATGGACCTGGGGGAAGGGATTGTAAAACAATGGGGGAACTTTTCTAAGAGAAGAGTGTACTGAGGGGGGAGGGGTGGGCAGGGATAAAAGTGCAACAGTGAATAAATGGAAATCCAAAGTCTCTGTAAATTTTCATTGAAATAAAAAAAAAAAGGGAAAAAAGTGAGCCTTTTTCTGGGTTTAGATGATGTATACACTCTGGGAAAATGCGGAGGAAGGAGAATATACTGAGCAGGAATAATGATCAATAGTTAATGATCAGTAAGTTCTGTCACGAGAACAAAGAGGAGTCCAAATAAAGAATGAGGATTGGCTTTAAATATAATTCATTATTTAATAGAGAATCTACTGTAAGCGCTTGCTAAGGGAGAATGAGCAAAGGCTCTGCCTTGCGAAAAAAAACTCCTGTGCTATACATGTGGGTGAAACAGTGGTCCCCATGGATCCCAATGGGGAATACAAGAGTCAAGTCTTGGAGACAGGTTACTGACATGGGCCAAAGAGGTTCATTTCACCTTTGAAATGATAATGATTTGGGTTAGGTAAATAATAATGAAAATGGAAGAGCTGAGACAAATTTGCCTAATATTCAAACAAACACAAAAATTATTTGGTGTTTAGATGTGTGTGAAAAAGAAGCTTATGGTGGTTAAAATTCCAAATAGGGATGGAAAGTGGTGCCATTCACAGGAATTCATTTTTTAAAAAAGAAGAGTGCTATTTTCCTTTTTAAAAATAAGAATGACATGGATGATTCAATTTTTAAAAAATTAGTATTTTAATAAAATAACTAATAATGTCATCTATAGAAATTTTGCCATCTCACACTAAGAGCTTTCTCAATTATTATCAATGCTGAGTCTCATAAATGGGATCTCAGAAAGTTCAAACAACAAGCCTGGAGTGTAACATTTATCTAGGCCCTGAGCCCAGAGATGTGCATAGAATCTGGATTCAAACCATATTCAAGTGGTGGTAGCTACTGAATTGACCTCAATCCCTTGCAGTGCAATATGTCACACAGGAGAGCTGTTCTCCAAAGGATTTTCTTGGCTATGATTTTAACAGTAGCAGATCATCAGGTCTTTTTTTTCTGTGTTGCCACTGGATGTGCTCCAACAGCCAGCCTTTAGATTATGAGTCAAGTGCAAATAATTTTTTCAGTTTAGGGATTATTTTCTTCCCTCATTACATTCTAATTGGTTATTCTCACTCCTCTGAACTATTTCTTTTTAGCTTGAGGGGTCTTTGGAACAAGAAAAGAAAATCCGAATGGACCTTGAAAGAGCAAAGAGAAAACTGGAGGGAGACCTAAAATTGGCCCAAGAATCTACAATGGATGTAGAAAATGACAAACAGCAACTTGATGAAAAGCTTAAAAAGTAAGTGGTAAACACAAAAAGCTCAGAGGATGTATCAACTACTAGTATTTCTGTGACTGACATAATGTGCTTTTCTAGAAAAGAGTTTGAAATGAGCAATCTGCAAAGCAAGATTGAAGATGAGCAGGCCCTTGGCATGCAGCTGCAGAAGAAGATCAAGGAGTTGCAAGTAAGTGCATGTCTCCCTTGGCCCAGCTCAAAGAGGCCGTCAAAGTTATGACCTGGGCAAGCTGAGCTGGTGCTTGTCACCATTTCCAGGCCCGCATTGAGGAACTGGAGGAGGAAATCGAGGCAGAAAGGGCCTCCAGGGCCAAAGCTGAGAAGCAGCGCTCTGACCTCTCCCGGGAACTG